ACCATTACAACCACAATGCCACCAGCTGGAGGATGAAGCCAAGTGCGGAAGAAAGCAGATCAGGTAGAATTACCCAGGAGTAAAACCGGGCCTGAAGTGTTGTGCCTGGACTCTATCCTCCTTGGAACCTCTTTGTTCTATGACGCAGTATATTGCCTTACTGCTTTAGCCACGATGACTCGGGATTTTCAATTATTTGCAACCAAAAGCCTCCTAACTAACAGGCAAGTATGCACTGAAGTTTATGCACTCTGTTCACAGAACATTATGTCGGGCATTTAGTTCTAGGAAATAGGCTTATCTGATTTCCCAGTTCTAGGAAACAGGCTCATCTGATTGCCCAGTTCATGGCAGATTAGAAATAGCACATTAGAAGTGGAGAAAGGGGCTGTTAGAAACAGGCAGCCAGACAGGGAAGGAAGACACAGAAAGGCAGAAACCGGAAGCTCGGATGGAGCAGTGGGATTATTTAATGTTGGGGCAAACAAGCCCTCCCACCCCCCAGCTCAGGTGGAAGTCAGAGTACATCTCAGTGACTAATGTAATGATGACCACGTGTCATCAAGGGAAGTTTGCTTTCTGTTCAGTGTATTGTTTTAGATGGGGGATGAGGCTGATTAATATTCCTAAATATTTCTTCATAAACAAGGAAAAGGTTAAATGATTAAAGGGATAAGCTTATCTGAAAAGGCACACAGAGAACAAACTCATTCCCTTGCTGTGCTCAACTGATGAGTGCTATACATATATGCAAATAGAATCTGTTAGAAGTTTGCTTTGTCCAGAGAAAAGGGAGGGTGAAAAATGGGGCAGGATTTTTATTGCTGCAAAGAACAGCTCATTGGGTCCCCATGAGAAGCCCCGCAGAGGAGAAGCAAAGCTTGTCCGTAAGGACCTGGTGCTGCTCTCCTGCAAGTTAACTTCATTTTGTTTCAATGGCTCAGCGAGCCTGGCTAAGCTGTTTCCTCAGAAGCCTGCCAGTAGGAAGTAAATAAGCTGCTTGACTCTCCTCCTAGAGGGGGTTGAGCACTTGTAATTAAAATGTAAATAATTCTCCGGGCCAACAGCTTGTAGACAAAAATGACTGGAAAGATCACAAGCACTAATATTACACCACGCCAAACAGGTTCTAAGTCTTTGTCTGCCCAAATGCTAAGCCCACCAGTTGATTTAGTTGTCTCGGTGAGAAATAACTCAAAATAAGTCATTTGCAACCGTGTGTATGGGAAACCAGCTGGTTGCCATTCTCCTCTGACTCCAGGGTCTAAAATTGAGGGTGGCTTGTTTCCCCAGTTCCCTGGGGCCTGGACAACTCAGAACACAAGTGTTAAGATGAGCCCAGGGCTTCTCAGCAACCATCTGGCGAATCTGTGGCCCCACACCCCTCCCACCTCTTGGACTGGGAGAGGAGCCCCATGCTGTGGAGCTGTGGGCTTAGCCTCACTCCCCACTTGCCTGCCCCTGTCCTGCTCCGAAGCAGATGTGCTGTCTCTACGAGCCTCTGCCCCTCAGGATGTTACTTGGGTTTTAAAATTATCCTTTGTTTGAGGAGTATCCTGAAACTTAAATAATATGCAAATATAAGCTAAATAAGGTCGAGAAAACCTAATACTACATTTTCTAATTACCATCAAATATCCATGCAGCTTATACAGAGTAGGTACTCATAATTTTTAAAAATTAATAATAAGTGATTTATCAACCTGAGTACTATGTGAGAGAAATACATAAAGAATGAAAGAATTTTATTAAGAACAAAACAGACTATTTAGATTAATTGGTTTCCAGAGGCATTTTTTCCCCTCCTCCTACTGCATTGCCATTCATACTGAGATTGTTACTGGAAATTATCATCATCATCATTATTATTATTAGCCAACATTTTGGGATTGTGCTAAATGCTTTACATTTGTGGTTTCATTTTATTATCAACAGCAAGCATACAATTATTAAACCCTATTTACAGGTGGAGAAAATGAGGCTTAGAGCTGTAAAGTCATTTACCTGGAGACATAGCCTGAGGCAGTGGTTGGAATACCAGTCAAATATAAGTCTGTTCCAGTGTCAAAGCCCTAGCCACTAGGTAGTTATTGACGGTAGTTGTACTGAATTTTTCCAAGATTTTCCCTAGTTTTTTTTTTTTAAATAAAGGGGACTTAAGAATCTCTCACTTGCATTCTAATATGTTGCTTTAAAGGTGAGAGGAGGCTAGAATCATGGTTAATATGCAGACAATGGTGAGAAATTATGTATGCTCATGAAGTGTCTCATGTGTTTGTCACAGCAGAGAAAAGACTGAGATGTGATTTTAGGGTCATCAAAATGTAATTGAGTCCAATGGTAGTGTTCTCCAATTCAACATTCTAAATACTTTTCAATAAATTAAATAATTTTCCTTAAATGCTTACTTGATTTTTAAAGTTCATTAAAAAAAACGGATTTAAAGCTTTTCTTACATCTACATTCATTCTTGTTTTAAAGTCATTCATTTGGTTAGCATTTATTGCTTTCATAATGTCCAAGCAATACCACGGCTGCTGTGGAAAGTTATGACACCAGAGGCTGGTCTTCATACAGTCCATCTTGGAGTGTCCTGCTTTCATTCTTGATTACCCAGTTTGGGTTCACAAGGTGAACCAGATACCAGGTTTCATTTGTGATCTCCAGGTGGGTCCCACCTGCACTGCCTTTGGGATATATAAGCTAGTTCAGGTGCTTATATTTTAGAGTACTGTTTCTCCATATTAATTTAAATATATATACATATGGCTGGGTAACATATATACATTACAAAATACATGCTTGCTATTCCAGCAGTACATGCTCAGGGGAAAAAAGTATTAAATAAAAAGAAGCACAGGGGTGCCGCAACTCTTGGTTTCGGCTCAGGTCATGATCTCAGTCTTGAGATCAAGCCAATGTTGGGCTCCGTGCTCAGCGGGGAATCTACTTAAGACTCTGCCCCTCACCCTCCCCACCCCTCTTTCTCTCTGTCTCAAATAAAAATAAATAAATCTTAAAAAAAAAAAAACAACTAGAAGCGTAGGAAGCTCAAGTGCAAAATTTCAGAAGTTTTACCACCGAATATAATTTTTTTTTAAAGTTTAGTGTTTTGCCTTCCCTGTTTTGGAGTTTACTATTTTGTTTGGAAGAGTTCTTGACTCTGTCTCCCCCACGCTGGGGGGGACCTTCTCTTTCCTTCATTTAAAAAAAAAAATTAATAATTTATTTATTTATTTACTTATTTGAGAGAGAGAATGAGAGAGAGAGATCATGAGCAGCAGGGAGGAGTAGGAGAGGCAGACTCCCCACTGAGCAAGGAGCCCTATGCGGGGCTTAATTCCAGGACCCTGGGATCATGACCTGAGCCGAAGGCAGATGCTTAACTGACTGAGTCACCCAGGTGCCCATCTTTCCTTCATTTTTTATTGACCCTGTTCTGCTCAATTTGATTCCCCTTCCAGGAACTTCTCTGGGTGGGGCCCTATCCCACAGTTTTGTGGATCTCCTTGTCTTACTCTTTCAGATCCCCAGTCGCTTCTTCTCTGTATCTTTTCATGCAGACACTGTGGTTTGCCTTCACCTTTTTTTACTTTGTGGTCTGTGGGAATACCTTGTATGCAGTTTGCTTGCATACATCATTCATGGGCTTTTGGTTTTTCTATTTAGTTGTTCTGTCTGTTTCTATGTAGAAATACAGAAAGATTAAAAAACTATGTCACTGTCCAGAACCTCTGTCCACTTGCAGGCTTCCCATTTTGAGTAACAAGGTAAAGCTACCTACAGATCAATGCCACTCTTATTTGGCCCCAACGGAGAAACAATGCTCTGCATACGATGTTTGTCAGCCTTGGCTGCTCATCAGCAGGACCTCAGGGGCTATAAAAAGGCTGATGTCAGGGTCCTAACCCCAAGAAACTTTGATTTAATTGGCTTGGGATTGTGTGTTCCCCAGGTGGTTCCAATGTATAGCCAAAGTTGACAACCAGTAATAATAAGAAAAAATGATTTTTTTTAATTATTATTTTTTAAAGATTTTATTTATTTATTTGACAGAGAGAGACACAGCGAGAGAGGGAACACAGGCAGGGGGAGTGGGAAAGGGAGAAGCAGGCCTCCAGCAGAGCAGGGAGCCCGATGTGGGGCTCGAACCCAGGACCCCGGGATCATGACCTGAGCCGAAGGCAGACGCTTATGTCTGAGCCACCCAGGCACCCCACAAATTATCTTTCTTTATTAAGTTCCTCTACCTGCTCACACCTTTTGCAAAAAGTCCTTTGGTTAATATTCTTTTTGTTCTACTTTGTAGTGTCTTTACCCTTTGGCTTCCTGACTGGTAGTTAATCAGTCATGTTACATTGACACAGGAATATCTTCACTGGCACTAAAATGTTCTCAAAAGGGCTGACATAGTCATTTTTAAATATATTTACTATACAAAAGTCAAAACTTTTGAATGTTTTGCCCAAGAGGAAATGCTCGCACACACCTCCCCCAACAAGTACAATGCTTGGCTATATATTCAAGAGAAATAAATTTTTCAGAAGAAATAGCTGCCCCCTTCTGATTAGATTAACAAGAACCATAAAATGCCAACATGTAGGAAGGAGGAAGTGTTTGCTCTTCTCAGAATCCTCTGAATGGTGAAAAGACATTAAACAATTTACTATCATTTTGCTGTATACCTTAAACTTACACAGTGCTATATGTCAATTGTATCTCAATAAAACTGAACAAAAATTTAGTCAATTTAAACTATAAATATTGTTTTGAAGTATTACATTAAAAAGGAGCTTGAGAACAAAGTGGGTTTTTTGGAGGGGTGGCAATAATGTGCTATGGCTTCTTATGTACTATTCTCACCTGAGTGTATTATTTTTCTCTACATTTCCCCCTCGTTTTTTCTCTTTAACCAAAGGAAAAAGCATCTGAAATGTTATTTCTAATCTCTCATTTTTTTCATTACCTATCTACTAACTTCATTTGATATTAAAAGGGCACTAAACATTATTAAAATTACTTTTTGGAGGTACATTTTAAGTTGTGCTGATGTGCTGCTAGGGTTCTTTTAGCTCCACAGTAGAAAGGAGTCAGTAGCTTCCACTACATTCCAGAATAACCAATGAGAAAACATACAGGAAAAAGAGATATCCCCTGCACAAAATATGAAAGGGCATAAAATATTTACGAGTAGCCTTAACAAGAAATATGCATGACCTATATGAAGACAATTATATAAATTTATTAAGAATATAAAGAAGATGAATAATAATAATAAAAGTTAGCATTTCTGTGTAGGCGCTGTGCTTTCTCTTTCCCTGCGTCACCTCCTTATCTATGAAGCAGAGAAGCCCTGTCGTAGCCAGCACATGGCTCTCGAGCCTGCCTCAGTTTACTTAACTTCTCTGGGATTCAGTTATAAAATCGGGAGAGGACCAATCTGTGCCTCACAGAATTGTTGTAAGATTTAATAAGGCGCTACAAATAAAGTGCTGAGAACAGTGCCTGGCACATAGCACCATAGGCACCATTATTAGAATCATGTTACAGAAGAAGAAAATGATAGCACAGAGGCTGGTGGCTTGCCTAACCTCATCCCGCAAGTAAGTGAATGGGATTCCTACGCTGCCCTGTCCAACTCAACAGCTAAGACTCTAAATTCATTACGTGTTTGTTTCTAGATAAGAAGGCAATGACACTTGTTCCCATACTTTGTAGAGTCATTCTAGAGTTCATTATTTTAGAAGTACAGAAAAAATGGGAGATAAGTCATATATGATTGCAGCAGAAATATAAACATCTTTATGTTAAAATAGAAGATAATGAGAGTGATGGAAATGTTCTCTATCTTGATTGTGGTCGTGGTTACACGACTATAATCCTAGCCAAAATTTTTTAAACTTCACACTTAAGAGAGATAAATTTTTTAAAAATAATAAACAATTAAGTAAATAAATAAGTAAAAGCAATGAATTTTATGTGTGAAAATTATACTACAATAAAACCTGGAGGAAAAAGAATATATAAAAAGGCAAGCAATCAACTAGGGGGAAATGTGCCCAAATATGGCAAAGAGGTAATATGTTTGCTATAGCACCAACCAGAGCTAGTTCATCATATAACCTATGACCCCAATTCCAGTTCTGGGTATACACATAGAAATAAGTGCTTATACCTAAAATGCATGTAGAGAATGCTCGTGGCAGCCTTATTCATAATAGCTCCAAATTGCAAACAACCCAAATTTCCATGAACAAGAGAATGAGTAAATAAATTGTGGTATTTCCATACAATGGAAAACAACACAGCAATGAAAATGAGTGAACGGTACATGCAATGTGGACGAGTCTCCCAAACATCATGTTGAATGAAGAAGCCTGACACCAAATAGTACACACAGAGTGTTTCCATCGATAAGAAGTACAAAACAGGTCAACCTTATCTATGATGATGGAAGTTAAAATAGTGGCTACTTGGAGGTGTTTACTGCTGACTGGGAGGGGATGTGGGGGAGCCTCCGGGTGCTGGACATGTTCTACATCTTGACTGGGTGGTGATTACGGCAGGGGTACACATGTAAAAATTTGTTGAGCTAAGCACTTAAGATTGGTTTACTTTCCTGTATGTGAATTATACCTCAAAAAAAAGATCTAATATGAATTAATAAGATGAACAAAGGACTTGAGGTCACAAAAGAAGAGATGGACTGACTTAACTCTTATGGACACAAGATGCATATTCCATCTCAGTAATCGTACATGCGCAAATAAAAAGTTATTTTTAAATTATAAAACCCATAGCTGAGCCAGATGAGGCTGTTTGGAGGAAGACTCTGAGGTGGGCAAATGATTACCAAGGAAGGTCTTATGTGGGATACCAGTAAGGGAGTGAGGCAAGTAGGATAAGGAAGGGGAAGAAGCCCAGCGAAGATGTCGTTTCAGGTAAGGTCTCATTCTCAGCCTGGTCCCACAGGGGTTCTGGAGTGTCAATGACGCTGCATAGTTTGTTCTGCCTCTAGGAAGTGAGCTGGGCTTTGGTACTCCTCTATCCGTCAGGGGGTGGCTACCTCACCCTCCCACACCACCGTGCCCCATAGCCCAGGACTAGTTCTCTGAAGAAGGTTGCCAGTGAGTTATGTTAGGACAAAGTGTGCAGAAGTTGGGGGATGGGCATGCAGAAACAATAAAGGGACGAGGTGGAGCCCTGATGGTGTCTGCAGCAATTGTGTTGATGACAGGTTGGAGGGGTTAGGAGCCAGAGGTATCATTTTGCCTGAGATTGAAATGACCAACTGTGACCAGTTGAGCAAGTAAAGAAATAAAGCCAGGAATGAATGAACGGTCGTTCCCCAAACTACTCTGTTTTTCCCATAACCTTCCTATACTTTTACATAAAATAGGTGCCTTGTAGTCAAGTTTAGCAGAAGGAAGACGTAGGAGATTATGGGCAAAGCAGGTAAGAATACATTTGTTCAGAAGACATTCAGATCCTCTTCAAATCTTAGAATCTGATGAGTCATGTATGTACCAAAGAGAAGCACCTGGGTTGTAAAATTGTGTTTGTTCTCTCTGGCAGGTCCATTTGGTCACCTTCAAGTCTTATCCGACCCTGCACGGTCATAGGCAGTCCTTTCTCTGCTGGGCTACTTTGCACTTGATCATATTGGATCTTAATGACATCCAGTGGGGCAGCAGGGCCAGCTGTTTTCCAGATGAGGAAAGCGAGGCCAGATGGGTTGAATCTTTGCTTCTCAATCTTCCCAGCACCTCATGACCACTTGTGGCAGTTTTGTAAACCATTATATGGAGTGCCTGGAAGGGGGGCCAATGCGTGTTTTTTAAAAAACTCCAAAGGTGATCAGGAAGTACAGCTGGATTTGGAAACAAAGGGATTAAGTGATCTTCCCAGGGTCCTGAGGAAAGAAAGAAAATATACACAAACCATTAATGTTTTCATTCATCCACCCACTTATTTCTTTTTTTTTTTTAAAGATTTTATTTATTTATTTGAGAGAGAGAATGAGAGACAGCACAAGAGGGAAGAGGGTCAGAGGGAGAAGCAGACCCCCCACTGAGCAGGGAGCCCGATGCGGGACCCGATCCCGGGACTCCAGGATCATGACCTGAGCCGAAGGCAGTCGCTTAACCAACTGAGCCACCCAGGCGCCCCACCCACTTATTTCTTGAGCATTTATTTTGTGACAAGGATTCTGCTAAATACTGAGACTACAGCACAGACAAGACAGTCATAATCCCCATGGTCTCATAAAAGGGTATGATCCAGGGAAGGGATCAGGGTGTTGCGTCCATAGTTTCTAGGGCACCATTCAATGTTGTTGGGCAGACAAAGCCTGCGATGACCTTAGGGATGAGACAGATACTGAAGTAATAATTCCAAATGTGACAAACCTTATAAAACTGGAGCTTTAGTGTATCTGGGGAATGATAATGTCAATCATTTTCACATACAGGAGAGTCTCTGGTCATTTTAGGCTACCGGCACTGTCTTATTCTAAAGATAGTCAAAACTGCTAACTGGTTATATTTAACAAGTGTTCTCTTTTATTAAAACATTACATAAGCAAATGGGTAGGTTGTTGCACAGAGATGCACCTGACCTTTGGATCTCAAATTCCACCAACTAGATTGAACTCTGTAGTGTGGGACTTTTTATAATTATCTAAGCAAAAGATAATCTTGCAGAGAATCTGCCTAGAGTCCAAACAGATATACAAGTCAACTTTTATTTCCATATTCTTTTATTTATTTTATTTTATTTTTTTAAAGACTTTATTTATTTGACAGAGAGACACAGTGAGAGAGGGAACACAAGCAGGGGGAGTGGGAGATGGAGAAGCAGGCTTCCCGCTGAGCAGGGAGCCCGATGCGGGGCTCGATCCCAGGACCCTGGGACCATGACCTGAGCTGAAGGCAGATGCTTAACGACTGAGCCACCCAGGTGCCCTATTTCCATATTCTTTTAATGATGCAGTAGAGGACTGGGGAAAATTTTTTGTTTCTTTCTTTGTTTTTTTGTTTTAGGTAAGATAGGTAGACATATGGTATTTGGTGAAGATGAGCACACAGATTTTAAGGTTTTAAGGCCTTTAGATAAGTATGAGCACACAGATTTTAAGGTTTTAAGGCCTTTAGATAAGTATTCCCCCAAAGCAAGTGTGAGCGATTTGTCTGAGTCCTATAGCCCAGCACATGGTGAGGACAATGGGACTCACCTTTGCATGGGATTGGAGAGTAACGGCCTCCTTGGAACAGGGCAGCTCCATGGAGAGTCCAGGGAAGAGATTTGGGGCCCCCAATCCCAGCATGCTTTCCTTTATACAGCAGCTGTCAACACATATGCCATTTGCCCTATAAAATTGGTCTCTCTTTGTGTTTAAAAATATAATCTGTTTCTTTAACGTATCAGCATATTTTCAGTAAGCCTCAAGATAATTCTAAAAAATGATTTAGTTTTCTAACACTATTCTTTTTTTTTTTTTTTAAAGATTTTATTTATTTATTTGAGAGAGAGAATGAGAGAGAGAGAGCACATGAGAGCGGGGAGGGTCAGAGGGAGAAGCAGGCTCCCCGCCGAGCAGGGAGCCCGATGTGGGACTTGATCCCGGGACTCCAGGATCATGACCTGAGCCGAAGGCAGTCACTTAACCAACTGAGCCACCCAGGCGCCCTCTAACACTATTCTTATAGAATCCTGCCATTCTGATTTATGGAATCACATTGTTTTCTTTCATCTTTTTTTAATGCTCTTTGAGTTCATCAAAATCCTCATGAGAGTCACATCAATTTCTTAAAATTCTTCTCCTTTTTCTTCCTCCATAATACCATTTGTGATTTCATAATCTTTTGGCGGGGTGGGTAGTGGTACTACAGGAGTTGGTTAAGTTTTGGATTTCAAAGTGTTTCCCTGAAGACAGTGCAGTGTCAACAAAGCAAGTAATTCATCGGAGTAGGTGCTGACTGTGGATGAAGCCTATGCCAAGTTGTTAACCCAGCAAGTCATTAAGCAAAGGGACTACTAAATTCAATAGAGCAAGATTTGCCCTGGATAAGCTACCCTGGGATAATAGGAAGTTGACTACATTAGGCAAATTTTCAACCAGGGAGAAGGTTGAAGGCAAATGATAACTCGGCACTAAGCAACCTTTCGGAGCTGAAGAAATGGAGAGGACCTCAAGAGGTCAGTAGGTCCAAGCCCCGCTCTTAAACACATCATTAACTGACCCTTCTGGGCTATAAGACTGTCCATTCTGGTTTTCAAAGTTAATCAGAATAGACATGCAACTTACCTTTTTTAAAATAGCTTATTCCATATGGAAGTGTTCAATCACTATATTGTACACCTGAAACTAATATTACACTGTATGTTAACTAACTGGAATTTAAGTAAAAACTTAAAAACAAAACAAAACAAAAAAACAAACCCAGCCAGCTTATTCCAGTGTTTGGTTGCTTCTAAATGGTTTTTCCTTGCGACCAAATGAAGGTTCTTACAAATTTAAGGTCAGTTTTCCATGGCCGAATTTCTGGCTTTCTGGAAAGAATTACTCATCATCTTTCTCATTAAAAGCATTAAAACACATAGGCTCTAGAGCCAATTGCCTAGGGTATGAACACTAACTCAACCACCTGGATCCACAGTCTCTTAACATCTTTCTTAACCTGCCTGAGTTTCCTGATTGGTAAACACGGCGATTCTACCAGGTAGCTCTCTCAGAGGGTAGCTGTGAGGATGAAGTGTGATAATGTATTTAAAATTCTTGCTTACTCCTGGTACATGATAAGTATTCAATAATGATAATAATAATAATAATAGTAATATTGTTATTTTTAATGCTTCCTATCTTGAGAGGTGGTAATTGAACCAATCTCTTAGTCTTCTACTGAGCATTAGAAAAATTCAAATTCCCTTTTGAAAACTTCAAAATTGTCTTTTTTTCTGGATAATGAGTCTGAGGCTTTTTAACATACTGGTTGATATCCCTATAGACTCAAAGACTGGAAGCTTACTATATTACACCATGTTTTTTATAATGATGACCTTGAATCTTTAAAGGAAAGATTGCATAATATCCATTACACTGAAATTCTTCTGAATTTGAGAAAGATGTTAGCCAAGACAAAGTAATATTTTTACTTTTTCTTTCCAATTAGTCCTTAAAGAGACAATCAGAAATTAGCTGGGTCCTGAGAATAGAGTAGTGAAAAGTAGTAGACATGCTCTTTGCTCTTATGGTGCTTACAATCTGGTGGGGAGGCAGATATCAATAAAATAGTCATAAAAAGCATGGGCCTAGTTAGCAAGTGAGATAAGTGCTATAAGGAAATGAAGCTTGCATCTGTGTGAGTATATTATAAAGAAGCCTGACCTCACCAGATTTCCCTGAGGAAGTGACGCTAGAACCAGAGACCTAAGGAATGAGCAGGTAATAATGTGGGGCTGAGTGAAGGGGGCAGCTGGCCTATGGGGAGCAGCTGTGGGAGGGAGTGGTTCTGCTTCAAAGGGATGGGGGTGGAGGAGAGCGGGAAGAGCACCAGGAAAAAAGGATCAGAAAGAAAGGCAGCAAGGCTGGGAGCTGAGAGTGAGGGGATGGGCACCACTAGATAAGGCTGGAGGAGGAACCAGGTCAGTCCCTGCAGATCCTCACAGGCCTCCTAGGGATTGTCCTCCTTAGCTCAGGAGTAGTGGGAAGTCATTGAAGATTTTACACAGATTGTGTTGAATGAGATCAGACTTTCGTTTTGCAAAGGTGACCATGACTGCGGTGTGGGAAATGGACAGGTGAGGGGCGGGAATGGTTGCAGAGAGGTCAGTGAGGACACAACTATAGAAGTATAAGTGAGATGTGTTGGTAACTTGAACTGGGGTCTTCACAGTAGAGATGGAAAGAAATGGACTTATGCCAAACATTTTATAGGCAGGATTGGGTAATGGATAGATGTGGGGGCTGAGGAAGGAGAAGGTGTTAGAATGACTCCTAAGTTTCTAACATGAGTAAATGAAAGATGAGGTACCACTTAGTAAGACATGGAACATTATAAGAGAACTTGGCGTGGGTGTTAGAATATGAATTTTACCTCGGACATGTTGAGTTTCACATAATTATAATATTTCTGGTGAGCATGGAATCAAAACCAAAAAAGATAGAGAGTCCTGATGGACATTTTGTTCAACTATGGTTATCATGTTTCTTTAGTGACTGTTTCTTTGCTAGATTTAGTGTTTGTCTTTTTAGAACAGTTAGAACAAACTTGGCAAACTTTTCTATAACATACTGATAATAGCTTAGGATCTGAGGCAGTCCAGTTAAAGACATCAGATTGAACATAAGCATTCAATTGCCTTCCCTCCTTCACCCAGCTAAGAGAACAATAAAATTATCATTAACCAAACATAAATGTGCAAGGACAAAGGGGATGGGATGGAAGACAACAGCAATGAAATTTTAGAAACTAGAAAGCAAAATAGAGAAGTAGGAACCAAATTTGGACACTCAAGAAAGTAGTAAGTCCTCTCTTAGAGAGGCATTGTTAAGATGAAAAAAAGTTCTGTGTGTCTGGAACATAAAAGAGATTCAAATAAAGTGTGTTTCTCAAAAAGAAAAAGAGACAAACCAAGAAGTGGACTCTTAGCTCTAGAGAACAAACCAATGGTTACCAGAGGGCAAGTGGGTAGGGGGATGTGTGAAATAGATGAAGGGGATTAAGAGTACACTTATTGTGATCATCACTGAGCAATGTATAGAATTGTTGAATCATTATATTGTACATCTGAAACTAATACGACATTGTATGTTAATTATACTGGGATTAAAATAAAAAACAAGTAAACAAAACAAAAGCTAAATCTTACACTTGATAACCAACCCAATTTACAACATAGAGTCCTTAAGTA